CAATGCTCCCAGGGCAGAAGGAGAGATGCAGAGGGAGAGTTGCACATGGGACTAGTTTTAAAAATTATTTTAAAAGATGATACTTAGGGAGGAAAGAGGCACAAGAAGAATGGCTGTTAAGGAATGAGACTACCAGTTGAAATTAGACATCTTCTTCAACTTTACTTATCGAACCAGAAAAGTACACAAACAAAAGTCAAAGAATTCAAATTAAAATGGCTACTAGCTCAACACCGAGAGAGTTGAATATAAATATATTTGTTTATTTCTTCCCTTCTTCATACATTTACTTATTCATACAAAAAATATTTGTGAGACTATATGACACTTTAGTAACTAGGAAGTGCTATGAATGTGTGTCTGTGTGTGTAACTTGAAAAAGTACACAAATTACGGTATAGTGATAATAGTCTGATTCCGGGAAAGTTACTAGAACATAGGAGAGAATTGGAAGCAGGAGATATGGCAGAAGTTAATATAGCACTTTCATGCCTGTTATCTACAGCACAACGAAACAAAACATAACAATTCCTATATTTAAAACAATTACATGAAATAATAAAAATATTTCCTGTAATTGAAACACTAAAAACTAATTATGTGGCATAGATGAATTAAGGTGCATGTATAAAGATCATATCAATTTCCCTATAGTTCTAGCATTTAACAAATGATCCCTGAAAACTGAAAATAAAATAGCCTAGAGCATCAGTCCCCAACCTTATTGGAACCATGGACTGGTTTCATAGAAGATAATTTTTACAAGGACCAGAGGTTGGTGAGGAATGGTTTTGGGACGTTTCAAGTGCATTACATTTATTGTGCACTTTGTTTCTATTATTACTACATTGTAATATCTAATGAAATAATCATACAACTCACCATAATATAGAATCAGTGGGAGGCCTAAGCTTGTTTTCCTACAACTAGAAGGTCCCATCTTGGGGTGATGGGAGATAAGATTACCCAGAATGTGTTGTTTATGTCCAGTCTACTCTGTAATTTCTTTTTGGTTGCTGTCATGCCTGAAAACCCTGCTTTACAAAGATAAGATGCTGTAAATGAAAGCAGGCTTTTCAGTGCTTCTGTGGCAATCTCAGGATGTTCCACCTTGACGTTAATCCAGAAAGTATAGAGATCTGAAGTTGTCTTAAACATACTTTGAAGGCCACTGTCATTTGTGATCTCAAGCAGCTGATCCTCTTCTGGAACGGTCAATGTTGATTCACCTGGCTTATTTACAACTGGGTCGAGGATCCATTCCTTCCCAGTTTGGGGACCTGTTGTACTTGGGAAGTAATGCTCAAACTATTTTGAGAGTTGAAATAGGTGATCATGCAATCATGCACCAGCTGAGAGAAAGAAGGAGAACCTGGCTTAGTCTCTTTTCAAATCTCTGCTAATGTTGGAAACATGTCAGAAATCTCAGTGTTCACTGCTTGCCCCCATAATTCCAGCTTGGCTTTGCATGCAGCCACTGTGTATGACAACCTGAACACAGTTATCATTCTCCCCTGAAGTGACAGATTTAATTTGTTGAGCAGGTTGAATGTGTCACATAAGTAAGCAAGTTTTGCAGCCTATTCTGTGTCACTGAAATGCGCTACCAGTGCTGTTTTTCTAAAAGAAATATCCGAAGTGGCTCTCATAACTCAAAGATGCTGGCGAGTGATCTACATTTAGAAATCCATCTCCCTTCTTAGTATAACCTAGTCATCCAGTTGAAGTCAGACTGATGCTCCAAATATCCTACAGTCGTCACATGCCTAGCTTACTTAGGAACTAGTAAGGCCTCCCTGGCCTAAGTCAGGAGCAAATGCTTTTGTTCTAACACTCAGGACTGTCCACAATCTCTATCAAATCCTCCATCTAATCGTATTTTTATCCAAAAGCTGTCTCCTCTAGCCTCTCTGTTTACAACCAACCATGTACAGCTCACCCACTAACAACAGAGGTTTGTACTGTGCAGGTCAACTTATATACAGATTTTCTTATGCCTCTGCCACCACTGAGACAGCAAGATCAACCCCTCCTTCTCCTTCTCAGCCCACTCAGCTGAAAACAATGACGATCCACTTCCTCTTAATAAGTAGTAAATACATTTTTGTCTTCTTTATGGTTTTCTTTTAAAGATTTCATTTCTCTAACTTAGTTTATTGCAAGAATACAGCATATAAAATAACATACAACATATGTGTGATATGGCTGTTTATAGTATCAATAAGGCTTCCAGTAAACAATAGACTGTAGTAGTTAAGTTTGGGGGGGACTCCAAACTTATTCACAGATTTTCTGACCGTGAGGGGCGTCCATGCTTCTAACCGCTGTGCTGTTGAAGGGTCAACTCTACGTTTATTTACTTCTGACTCTTTCTTCTCTTTAATTATCAAAATTCTACCCCCTTTTAAATCCCAAATTTAAGCTCATAAATTTTATCTGATCTTTCGAACCTGTTGTAGTCTTAAACTTTTTGTAAATGACGTACTTTTTCTCTCTTTTGATTGGCAGGCCATCTAAGTTGGCTCATCCCTTTCTTCCAGATCTGGATGAAATACACTCGTAGCAGTGGAGTAGGCTCAGGAGCCATGTCATGCAACCCAGAATTTGGGGAACTCTTTTAGCAAAGTTACCTGTGCTGTGTGAATATGCCTGTGAGCAACCTGCTGTGTTCCTTCAGGGGTTGCCTTGAAGAAGGGACCGGTACAGTAATGCTTCATATCACAGTATACAGCATTTCATCTTTCTATCATGACTTGCTCTTTTCTTAACTTCTTTCCTCATCCTTAATTTTCTGGGATTGTGCCTCCCAAATAAAAGGTTAGCACTTAATCTAAACCTCTTGATCTACTTTCCAAAGGACCTAGGTCTAGACATCTGAAAAGTTTCTTTTCCCAAACACCTAAAATTATAAATATCTACAATATTCATTCAGCACTTAGTATTAATTTTTTCTTCTTCAATCAGTGAGCCTGCATTGACAAAACAGGGTCACCCAGAGTCTATAGTTCACATTAGGGTTCACTCTCTGTATTGTACAGTGATGTACAGCCTGTACTTGATGTCATAGTATTATTATCAATTTTTTTAAATGCCTCTATAAATAAGTAATGCCTTATTTATGGCAAGAGTCCAGATTATTTTCTTTTCTTTTACTCTATTGTCTGGTAACATTACATCCAATAAGGATGTCCACTATACACTTTTAATAAGAAATACCTGAATAAGAGACCTTGTTTATGTTCATTCACTTGTATAAGTATTTCACGTTAGACACAAAAAAATTTCTATAAATACTTTATTTCACTGTCAAGGAGTTTTCTTTGTTTATAGATTTAAATTATTATAGATTTTTAAGGATCAAATGTTCTTAAAAACAAAGGAAAACATCTTCATATAAACAATATTTTTTATTTTCCTAATTCTTATTTCCTTGGGGTCCCCAAAATGAATCATCAAAATTTTCAAAGGTAACATTCTGCAAATAATGATAGTAAATCAGGAAGAGAAGGCTTAGGTTTTGTCAGTAATTGAAAATGAGATCCATAACAAGCAAACTATAAGGTACTTTAAACATTTCTAGCATCGTTTCTACATTGTTGCAGGCTGACTTTGTAAATTCCATAAGGTTATAAAAGACAAAATATCTTTTATAAAACTGTGGGATTGTATAAACTTAGTGAATACACATTTTTGCGTTGGGCTGTTGGTATTTTGACACAGTTTGCAGGTTACCATTTAGAAATGTCAATCCTCTTAAACTGTAATAATTGAGCATTAACCTTGGGAGGCATCTAGGAAATAACCTAATTTAACCCACACAGGAGGCACTTTCAGGAGAGAAAAGGAAAGTGGTGCCTCAAAACCTTTCACCTAGTTAGTGAAAGAATTGACTTTGGAATTTATAAATTCTGAATTTTGGTACAGTGTTTTTAAACGACATCATTATTTCACAATCGCTTAATTAAGAGTAAATGAGTATTACATACTCCGTTATTGTGTCATTATATTATTTCATGAATAGCAGTATCTTTAAAAATCATGTAATGCAAATTTGGAGTTGGTGATACTGAATTTTACCACTGAGACCTAGAGAATGTAAACAAATACCCACCTTAGAGGATGTTTTAAATCAATAAGAAGCTCTTTAGATAAATGATTACAGGGATAAACATTTATTTTTAATTTAAAATTTGAAAGATATACTTCATGAGGCAAGATCACCGCAAGATATGGAATACTCTTGGGTATGAACTTGTAATTTAGTTTCAAGCGATAAATTTAGTGATTATGTCTTATACATATAGTGTCTTATAAAATTGACCAATAGTTATTTAATAAATATTAACTCTGTTTAAATTATTCAGCTATGTACCACATAGATGAGTTGTGAAAAAATTATGGGAAAATTTGGAGACAATTGAAGAATCTATCTATAATGTTAATATCAGTATACTTAAAGACTGTACCAGAGGCTTAGAAATAATTTTTATTTCTTGGAGTAAAAAATAAGGTGAAAAGAACAAATAGAGAACAATCTTTGTAACCGAATATTCAAAACTAGAATGATGATGTTTCAGTTGATAGCTTCTCAATGATCTCTTTATAATTTATAAATTATATTTTATGGAACTGCTTTGGGTTCGCAGAAATGTTAAATAGAAAATACAGAAAGTTGGTGCTGGGTGGAAATGCCCAACCGAGGGACGCGCCCAGAGGACAGCTCTGTGCTGATCCCCACCGACAATTGGACCCCACACAAGGAGGATCTTAGCAGCAAGATTAAAGAACAAAAAATTGTTGTGGATGAACTTTCTAACCTTAAGAAGAATAGGAAAGTATATAGGCAACAACAGAACAGCAATATATTCTTTCTTGCAGACCGAAAAGAAATGCTGTCTGAGAGCAAAAATATATTGGATGAACTGAAAAAGGAATACCAAAAAATTGAAAACTTAGAGAAGACCAAAATCAAGGAATAGTCAACCTGATTTCATGTGGCAATGTGTGGCATTTGTTGTTCTGTAAAGTTTTCTGCTGAGCATTTCGGTCAAGATTTAAAAGAGGACTTACTGTATAATCTTAAACAGCGGGGACCCAATAGTAGTAAACAATTGTTGAAGTCTGATGTTAACTATCAGTGTTTATTTTCTGGTCATGTTCTCCACTTGAGGGGTGTTTTGACTGTCCAGCCTGTGGAAGATGAAAGAGGCAATGTGTTTCTATGGAATGGAGAAGTTTTTAGTGGAATAAAGGTTGAAGCTGAAGAGAATGACACTCAAATTATATTTAATTATCTTACCTCCTGTAAGAATGAATCTGAGATTTTGTCACTCTTCTCAGAAGTGCAAGGTCCCTGGTCATTTATATATTATCAAGCATCTAGTCATTATTTATGGTTTGGTAGGGATTTTTTTGGTCGCTGTAGCTTGCTTTGGCATTTTAGTAATTTGGACAAGAGTTTCTGCCTCTCTTCAGTTGGCACCCAAATATCTGGAGAAACAAATCAGTGGCAAGAAGTTCCAGCATCTGGACTTTTCAGAATTGATCTGAAGTCTGCTGCCATATCCAGATGCATTATTTTACAACTGTATCCTTGGAAATATATTTCTAGTAGGGAGAATATTATTGAAGGAAATGTTAATAGCCTGAGTCAAATTTCAGCAGACTTACCAGCATTTGTATCAGTGGTAGCAAATGAAGCCAAACTATATCTTGAAAAACCGGTTGTTCCTTTAAATATGATGTTGCCAAAAGCTGAATTGAATACTCACTGCAGTAATATTTCCAATGTGCCACTTACGAGAGAGACACTTCAAGTCTTTCTTACCAATGTACACATGAAGGAAATAATTCAGCAGTTCATTGATGTCCTGAGTATCGCAGTCAAGAAACGTGTCTTGTGTTTACCTAGGGATGAAAACCTGACAGCTGATGAAGTTTTGAAAACATGTGATAGGAAAGCAAATGTTGCAATTCTGTTTTCTGGGGGCATTGATTCCATGGTTATCGCAACCCTTGCTGACCGTCACATTCCTTTAGATGAACCAATTGATCTTCTTAATGTAGCTTTCATAGCTGAAGAAAAGACCATGTCAACTAGCTTTAACAAAGAAAGGAATAAACAGAGAAATAAATGGGAAGTACCTTCTGAAGAATCCTCTAAAGATGTTGCTGCTGCTGCCTATGGCAGTCCTGATAAACATGTCAATGTGCCAGATCGAATCACAGGAAGAGCAGGACTAAAGGAACTACAAGCTGTTAGCCCTTCCCGAATTTGGAATTTTGTTGAAGTTAATGTTTCCATGGAAGAACTGCAGAAATTAAGAAGAACTCGGATATGTCACTTAATTTGGCCATTGGATACAGTTTTGGATGATAGTATTGGCTGTGCTGTCTGGTTTGCTTCTAGAGGAATTGGTCAGTTAGTGGCCCAGGATGGAGTGAAATCGTATCAGAGCAATGCAAAGAAATCTTGGTCGTGATGACAGAGTTATTGGTGATCATGGAAAAGAAGCAAGATATCCTTTCCTGGATGAAAATGTCGTCTCCTTTCTAAATTCTCTACCAGTTTGGGAAAAAGCAAACTTGACTTTACCCCGAGGAATTGGTGAAAAACTAATTTTACGCCTTGCAGCTGTGGAACTTGGTCTTACAGCCTCAGCTCTTCTGCCCAAACGGGCCATGCAGTTTGGATCAAGAGTTGCAAAAATGGAAAAAAATAATGAAAAGGCATCTGATAAATGTGAACGGCTCCAAATAATTTCCTTAGAAAATCTTTCTACTGAAAAGGAGACTAAATTGTAATGTGATTCACAATGTAACTATGTTTATATAAAAGTAAAAATACTCTGCTGCTTTATTGCTGTATAATAAAAAAAAAAAAAAAGAAAATACAGAAAGTTTTCATGTACCCACTGTCCCTACACATGCACAACCTCCCCACATGAACATCTTGTCCCACAGTATTATACTTGTTACAATCAGTGAGCATACATTGACACAACAGGGTCACCCAGAGTCTATAGTTCACATTAGGGTTCATTCACTGTGTTGTACAGTGTTGTATAGTCTACAAGTTTTGAAAAATGTATAATGGCATATCTTCCCCACTGTAGCATCCTACAGAACAGTTTAACTACCCCAAATATTTTCTGTGCTCTATTTGTTCCTCTCTTCCCTCTGATTCTTGATGATCACAGACTTTTTTACTGTCTCCATAGTTTTGACTTTACCAAATGTCATATAGTTAGAATTGTACTGTATGTAACCTTTTCAGATTGTCTTTTTTCATTTGGTAATTTGCATTTAATCTTTTTCTATGTGCTTTCATTGCTTATTGGCTCATTTCTTTAGAGCACTGCATGATATTTTATTTTCTAGATGTACCACAGCTTACTAACCCATTCACCTACTGAAAGATACATTGTTTGCTTCCAAGTTTTGGCAATTATGAATGAAGCTACTATAAACATCTGTGCACAGGTTTTTGTGTAGACATAGGTTTTCAATTCATTTGAGTAAATTCCAAGGCGTGAGATTGCTGTGTCCTATGGTAAAATAAACTATAGTTTTGTAAGAAACTGCCAACCTGTCTTGAAAGGCACGTGTATCCTTTCACTTTCCAGCCAGCAATAAATGAGAATTCTCATTGTTCTGTATCCTCATCAGCATTTTGTGCTTTCAGTGTTTTGTATTTGGGCCATTCTCATTTCATTGTTGTTTTAATTTGCAATTACCTAGTGACAAGTGACATTGAACATTATTTTATAAGCTTATTTACCATCTAGATACTTTTTATGGAGATGTCTGTTCAGGTCTTTTGCCTACTTTTAAAGGGTATAATTGATATTTAATGTGTGTGTGTGTGTGTGTGTGTGTGTGTATGTCTATTTGTGTGTAAGATAAGACTCACCACAAGATGTGGAATACTCTTGTATATTAAATTGTAATTTAGTTTCAAGTAATAAAATAGTGAACATATTACATATATAGTATCTTACAACATCCATCAATAATTTTTAATAATAACATTTGTATATAGTCTATACACACACACACATACATGTGATTCTAATATATTAGGTACTAATAATTGCTAAGGAGAAAAAAACCCAAAGCAGTGAGAATGATAGAAAGTGTTGGTGGGGGATTGATTACATTTGAATAAGATGGCTTTCAGTTGGTCCATCTGAATAATTGATAGATGGATCAGAGAGGGCCTTACTAAAGAAAGAACATTTGAAAAATAACCCAAAGAAGGAGTCAAAGAATTTCTCCTATATTATCTGGTAGAATATCAGAAATGAGATCTGTGAACATCTGGTAGAAGTGCAAAGGTCCTCAAGCTGGAGTGTGTCTGGCATGTTCAAGGAATAACAATGAAGCCTATGTGACTGGAGTATAATAAACAGGAGGAAAAGGAGTTAGAGATGAAGTCAGAGAGCTAATGGAGTGATAGGAGATGAATCATGTAGTTAAGACCTTGTAGTTCATAGTAAGGACTTTGGATTTCATCTTCATTTTAATCTTTCCAATTAATGTCCTTCAAACAAAATAAATATTACTAACTTTTAATTATTAGGTTCTCCAGTAAAAACAGAGACAATAGCCAGTAGAATGAATGGATAGAAAGATAGACAAATGGATAGACAGATAGACAGATAAAAACAAATTTGCCAATGCTAATTATTCAGGCTGACAGTTCCCAGGATCTGTAGTAAAAAGCTGGAATCCCAAGAGAGTTGATTTATTTCAGTCTGATGGCCTTCAGGCTCAAGACCCAGGAGGAGCCACCAGTTTAGTTCAAATTTGAAGGCAGGAAAACACAATTTCTCAGCTCAAAGGCAATCAGACAGAAAGAATTCTTTGTTACTCAGCATTAGTGTTCTAATCAGGCCTTCAATTCCTTTTGGGAGAGGCAATTTGCCTTACTCAGTCTACTGATTTAAGTGTTAATTTCATCCAGAAATATCCTCACAGACATATTCCAAACAACGTCTGGGCACCCATGGTCGAGTTAATTTGACAAACAAAATTAACCATCACAAGTATTAGTGCTTACACACACACACACACACAAATATGTCTAAATTGTGTATATATATTTATGTATAAATTATTATTTTATTATTTAGAAGGAATAAATGTGAACTAATTTATCATTTCATAATTTTGAATAAAGATATTTTCTTAGTCTGTTTTGTGTTGCTGTAACAGAATAATGATATAACAGACTGGGTAATTTATTAAAATTAGTAGTCTAATTAGACTTCTCAGTCTGTAGGCTGAGAAGTTCAAGGTTGAGGTATCTGTATCTTAGAGCCTTCTTGCTGCATCATCCCACAGCAAAAGCTGAAAGACCAAGACAGCATGAAAAGGCAAGAGAGCTGGAAAGGTCTGAACTCACTCTTATAACAAGTCCACTCCCATGATAAAGGCCTTAGTTTATTAATGAGGGTAGAGCCCTCAAGACCTAATCACTGTTATTAGGCTCCACCTCCCAGTACTATTGCACTGGAAACTAGTTTCAAACACATGAACTTTGAAGCAGGGGTGCATATCCAAACTATAGTAAGCATATTCTTTGTTATGGATTGGATTAAAACCTATGCACAAATTCTCTTGAAAAAATTATGTGGATTCTAAAATAAAATGACTCTACCTATACCATTTTAAAGATCTAAGCAACTCAACCTTTAAATATTTTATGGCAGTCAGCATTTGTTTTCTAACCTTCTCATGCACTCTACTATAAGAAGCCAGGTTCATTATGGAGAATTTGGGTGACATTCTTCAGAGGTTTATGAGCAATAACCTAAAGATTCAGAGCTTTGCAAAATGCTGTTGCAATGACATGGTACTTACATGCTCATTTCCTGAATCCCATTACCTGAACCTCTTTAGGTTACCTCAAAGGAACCCACTTTTGAAAATTATCCTGACTTTTCAGATAAATGCAATGGTATTAAATAAGTATGGCTACTTTTTGTTTATAAAAATTCTTGTATAAAATTGTATTTTGAGATATGCTCTGTCAATACCTAGTTTCTTGAGAGTTTTTATCATAAAGAGCTGTTGAATTTTGTTGAAGGCCTTCTCTACATCTATTATGATAATCATGTGGTTTTTGTCTTTGGTTCTGTTTATGCGGTGGATACGTTTATAGATTTGTGTATGTTTAACCAGCCTTACATACCCAGTATGAAGCCTACTTGATCATGTTGGATGAGCTTTTTGATGTGCTGTTGCAATAGGTTTGCCAGTATTTTATTGAAGATTTTTACATCTATGTTCATCATGGATATTGGCCTGAAGTTTTCTTTTTTTGTTGAGTCTCAGCCAGGTTTTGGTATTAGGATGACGTTAGTCTAAAAAAATGATTTGGGAAGGAGTCCCTCTTTTTGTATTGTTTGTAATAGTTTCAGAAGGAGTGGTACCAGCTCCTCTTTGTATGTCTGGTAGAATTTGGCTGTGAACCCATCTGGACCTGGGCATTTTTTGGTTGGTAGGCTGTTAATTGCTGCCTCAACTTCAGCCCTTGTTATTGGTCTATTCGGGGTTTCGACTTCTTCCTGGTTTAGGATTGGGAGAGTGCAAGTGTTCAGGAATTTATCCAGTTCTTCCAGGTGTACTGGTTTATGTGCATAGAGTTGTTTGTAGTAATCTCTGATGGTGGTTTGAATTTCTGTGGAATCTGTGGTGATATCCACTTTATCATTTTTTATTGCATCTATTTGATTATTCTCTCTTTTCTTTTTTATTAATCTGGCTAGCAGTCTGTCTATTTTGTTGACCTTTTCAAAAAACCAGCTCCTGGATTTATTGATTTTTGAAGGGTTTTTTGTGTCTCTGTCTCCTTCAGTTCTGCTCTGATCTTAGTTATTTTTTTGTCTTTTGTTAGCTTTTGAGTTTTTTTGATCTTGCTCCTCTAGGTCTTTCAATTTTGATGATAGGGTTTTGATTTTAGATCTTTCCTAGCTTCGCATGTGGACATTTATTGCTATAAGTTTTCCTCTAGACACTGCTTTAAACGTGTCCCAGAGATTCCGTTACATTGTGTCTTCATTCTCATTGGTTTCAAAGAACATCTTTATTCCTGCCTTCATTTCATTGTTTATCTAGTCAACATTCAAGAGCCAGTTGTTCAGTTTCCATGAAGTTGTGCAGTTCTCATGAAGTTGTGCAGTTCTGAGTTAGTTTCTTAATCCTGAGTTTTAATTTTATTGTACTGTGGTATGAGAGACTGTTTGTTATGATGTCCTTTTTTTCACATTTGCTGAGGAGTGATTTACTTCCAATTATGTGGTCAATTTTAGAGTAGGTGTGATGTGGTGCTGAGAAGAATGTATATTCTGTGGATTTGGGGTGGAGAGTTCTGTAGATGTCTATTAGGTTTGCTTGGTCCAGGTCTGAGTTCAAGTCCTGGATATCCTTTTTAATTTTCTGTATCATTGATCTATCTAATATTGACAGTGGAGTATTAAGGTCTCTCATTATTATAGTGTGGTAGTCTAAGTCTCTTTGTAGCTCATCAAGAACTTGCTTTATGTACTTGGGTGCTCCTGTATTGGGGGCATATATATTTAAGATCATTAGCTCTTCTTGTTCCATTGATCCTTTTACCATTATGTAATGCCCTTGTTTGTCTCTTTTGATCTTTGTTGGTTTAAAGTCTATTTTATCAGAGACTAGGATTGCAACTCCTGCCTTTTTTTGCCCTTCGACAAATGAACAGCCAATATCATACTGAATGGGCAAAAACTGGAAGCAGTCCCTTTGAAATCTGGCACTAGTCAAGGATACCCTCTTTCACCACTCCTATTCAATATAGTATTGGAAGTTCTAGCCAGAGCAATCAGG